AACCAAATCGTCCCTTAAGTAATGGCAAAAGTCTAAGTTTGGGGGGGGGGAGACAAGAAAGGAAACAAGGTGGTAAAAGGAACAAAAGCAACAGGAAAGGAAGGCGATGAAAAAGAAAGAAAAGAAAAAGACAAAGAAATCCCAATGTGCAAAGAATAAAATGGGATTCAAGAAAAACAAAAGTGAAAGAGTTGTGGAAAAAAGTAGAAAAGGAGAAATACTTTGAATTGCATAAGAAAGAGTGACAATGTGTCTCTCTAACCCCTTGAAAAGAAGTGAAATACTCAAAGAGTCAAAGAGAACTATGCCAAAATGAATCAAAAGAAGTGTTTAAGGGAAGATGGAACTCATATAGACCAACAACTTTTCCTACCCTGAACCAAAAGCTTTCACATTGACTCCACAAAAACCCTATATGATCTTGAGTTGGATGACGCTCGCATTAGTGGATACTTACATGAGGGTCAAGCATATGGTACTTAGAGCCGGACTTGTGACCTTTCCTTGAGAGAGACGAGTGACTTCCCATTAACCTTGGTTTGCGTGCTTATACTCTAAAAAGGTGAGGTTTGCTTAGGGAGAGTTGAGGATGTGTGAGTTTGGGGTCCACAGCGACCAAAGTAATTGAGAGAGTTCTTTGATGTAATGAGTCAATTCTTGATGCTCTTGTGTCACACTTGATCCATAGTTTTTCTAAGTTTAAATTTTGTTAATGATCCATTCGTATTGAGGGCAATTGTTAGTCAGCTAACCTCTCTGAAGAATAGGAGACTACCACAGGAATGAAATGCGCCGACTTAGTTAGCCTATCAATAATAACCCATACCGCATCGAACTTCCTATGAGTAGTCCAACAACGAAGTTTATCGTGATACGCTCCCGCTTCCACTCAGGAATCTTAATCTTCTGAAGAAAACCACCAGGTCTCTGATGCTCTCACTTTACCTATTGACAATTCAAACACCGAGCTACATATGCAACAATATCCTTCTCCATCCTCCTCTATCAATAATGCTACCGCAAATCCTGATATATCTTAGCGACACCCGGAGGAATGGAATACCGGGAACTATGGGACTCCTCTAGAATCAACTCACGAAGTCCATCCATATTAGGCACACAAATACGACCATGCATTCTTAAAACTCCATCATCTCCAAACTGATTGGATAAAGCCTGAACATCCAAGGCAAGCGGTCTCTCACCGACTGGAATATACGCAAGACTGCCCATACTGGCTGACTTCCTACTCAAAGCATCAGCCACTACATTGGCCTTCCCCGGATGATACAAGATTGTGATATCATAATCTTTCAATAGCTCCAACCACCTCCTCTGCCTCAAATTGAGATCCTTTTGCTTGAACAAATAATGCAAAATCTTATGATCTGTGAACACCTCACATGACACGCCATATAAATAATGCCTCCAAATCTTCAACGCGTGAAAAATGACTGCTAGCTCCAAATCATAAACTGGATAATTTTTCTCGTGAATCTTCAACTGTCGCGAAGCATACGCAATAACCTTGCCATTCTACATCAACACCTCACCAATTCTAATATGAGATGTGTCACAATAAGCTGTATATGGACCTGAACCTGTGGGCAATACCAACCCCGGTGTCGTAGTCAAAGATGTCTTGAGCTTCTGAAAGCTCGCCTAACACTCATTCGACCTCCTGAACTGGGCACCCTTCTGGGTCAACCTGGTCATCGGGGCTGCTATATATGAAAACCCCTCCACAAACCGACGGTAATAACCCGCCAAACCCAAGAAGCTCCGGATCTCTGTAGCTAATGTGGGTCTAGGCCAGTCCTTGGCTGCCACAATCTTCTTAGGATCCACCTGAACACCCTCTGCCGATACAACATGACCCAGGAATGATACTAAACTCAACCAAAACTCACACTTTGAAAACTTTGCATATAACTGATTGTCTCTCAAAGTCTAAAGAACGACTCAAAGATTCTTCTCGTGCTCCTCCCGGCTGCGGTAATAGATTAAAATATCATCAATAAAGACAATCATGAAGGAATCCAAATAAGGCTTGAACACTCAGTTCATCAAATCTGTGAAAGCTGTTGGGGCATTTGTCAACCCAAATGACATCACTAAGAACTCATAATGGTCGTACCGAGTGCGGAAAGCTGTCTTAGGGACATCGGATGCCCTAATCCTCAATTGATGGTAGCCAAATCTCAAATCAATCTTCAAAAACACTTTGGCACCCTGAAGCTAATAAAATAAATCATCAATCCTCGACAATGGATACTTATTCTTTATGGTGACCTTGTTTAACTGTCGATAATCTATGCACATCCTCATCGACCCATCCTTCTTCTTAACAAACAATACAGGCGCACCCCAGGGCGAGACACTAGGTCTAATAAAGCCCTTATTAAGCAAGTCTTCCAGCTGCTCCTTCAATTCTTTCAACTCTGGTGGGGCCATATGATATGACGGAATAGAAATAGGCTGAGTTCCCAAAACCAAAATAATGCAAAAGTCAATATCCCTGTCGGGTGGCATACCCGGCAGGTCTGGAGGAAATACCTCTGGAAACTCACGGACAACGGGCACAGAATCCATAGAAGGAACCTCAACACTAGAATCACAAACATACGCTAAATAGGCCAAACATCCCTTATCAACCATACGCCGAGCCTTCATATATGAGATAACCCTGATGGTAGAATGACCAGGAGTCCTTCTCCACTCTAAATGAGACAACCCCGGTAATGCTAAAGTCACAGTCTTAGCATGACAGTCCAATATAGCATGATAAGGGGATAACCAATCCATCCCCAAAATGACATCAAAATCCACCATATCTAGAAGTAAGAGATCTACACTGGTCTCAAGGCCCCAATAATAACCACACACGAGCGATAAACTTAATCTATTATAATAGAATCACCCATTGGTGTAGACACATATACAAGAGCACTCAAAGAATCACGAGGTACAACCAAATACGAAGCAAAATAAGATGACACATAGGAGTATGTAGACCCTGGATCAAACAGAACTAAAACATCTCTACTACAAACCGAAATAGTACCTGTGATAACAGCATCGAAGGACTCAACCTCAGGCCTAGCTGGGAAAGCATTACATTGGGGCTAGGCCCTACCACCCTAAACTATATCCCTGGGATGGCTTCTTGCTGGCTGGCCTCCACCTCTAGTGGCTTGGCCTCCACCTCTAATGGCCTGACCTCCACCTCTAGCGGGCTGACCCCTACCTCTAGCTGGCTAGGCGGGCAGTGACAGAATCATGGTGCGAGAACTCTGTTTCTATGACTGAACACCCACTAATCTCGGACAAGCCCTCCGGATATGACCATACTCATCGCACTCAAAACATCCACCTAAATGTTGCGGCTGAGGAAACAGAAACTAACCCTGGCGAGCCGACTGACCATGATAATAGCTCTAAAGAGGAGGTTCTCTAATAGGAGTTGGCTAACTTGAAGGAGGTACATAAGAAACACGCCCCCCTGAAGCTCCATGAGATGCCTGAAGTGCTGAGTGAAACAACCTGGGATGATGGCCCCTACCAAAAGAATCCCTGCCTCCAGACGAGGGACCACTGAACCTACCCGAATGATGAGGCCTCTTGTCAAACCCCTAACCACTCCCCTAAGATAGAACTGCCTCAACTCGCTGGGCCACATTGGCCGCATCCTTGAAAGAAATCTCGCTCCCTGTCTCCTTAGCCATCTGCAATCTAATAGGCTGAGTGAGTCCCTCAACAAACCTCATCACCCTCTCTCTCTCGGTGGGAAGTATAAGAAAAACATGACAGGCCAAGTCAATAAATCCGGTCTCGTACTGAGTGACAATCTTAGAACCCTGCTAGAGACGCCCAAACTGCCTTCGATAGTTCTCCCTCTAAGTGACAGGAAGAAACTTCTCAAGAAATAGCTAATAAAACAGATCCCAAGTCAAAGCAGGCGACCCAACTGGTCTAGCCAAACAAAAATCCCTCCACCATTTCTTGGCGGAACCTGATAAGCTAAAAGCAGCGAAGTCGACCCCATTGGTATCCACTATTCCCATGTTCCGAAGAACCTCATAGCAACTGTCCAAATAGTCTTGGGGATCCTCTGAAGATGTACCATCATAGGTCGTAGTAAAGAGCTTGGTGAACCTGTCTAACCTCTACAAAGTATCTGAAGACATAGCTGACGCATCACCAGTCTGTGCCACAACATCCGGCTAAACTACCCCAACTGGCTGAGCTGCTGGAGTCTGAAACTGGGGAGCCATCTACTCCGGAGTGCAAGTAGCAGGAGTCTGGGCTCCTCCTCCAGCATGAGAGATAGCTGGTGCTATAGGGAATATGCATGCCTATGTGACACTTTCCATAAGGCCCACTAGACAGAGCATCCTGGAATGCCGGAGTAGCGATGAACCCCTCTAGGACCTGAGCTGGCCCTAATGGAACTGTCCTGGCCGGAACCTCCTACTCGAACTCTACCTGAGGTTTTGCCACTGGTGCTACTGCTCGAGCTCTAGGCTGAGCCCTGCATCTACCTCGGCCTCTAGCACGACCTTGGTATTTGCCCCTCGCAGGAGCTGCTACTGGGGGCTCGGGCTACTAGTCAGCTGATGAAGCAGTACACGTTCTTACCATCTGCGAAAAAATAGAGTAGAGTGTTTAATTAGCATTGAGAGATCAAATCACACTATAGAGATGAATAGAAGTGAAACTGTTCATAACTCTGTAGCCTCTAGGGGATAAGCACAGATGTCTCCGTACCGATCCCTAAGACTCTACCAACATTGTCCGTGAATTGTGAGACATAAGTAACCTAGAGCTCTGATACCAACTTGTCACGACCCGAATTTCCCACCGTCGGGATCGTGATAGCACCTATCATTGTACTCGCTAGGCAGACCAACGTTTCAGAATATTCTACCTTTTTTTCTTTTATCTTTCAAATATTAAAGACTGAATTAATATAAACCAGCGAAAATAATTGCGGAAGAAAATAATCTAAAAGCTTAACTTTATACAATAACGAAAACCAAAGTAACATCCACCTAGAACTGGCATCACAACTCATGAACTGTCAAAGATTACTACAAATAAGGGTCTGAATGAAAAGTTTACATCTGTCTTGGTAGTAGATAAAAAGGAAATAAAATGAAATAGAAAGGGGCGTCAGGGCCTACGGACTCCTGCAGGACTACCTTGGGTCTCCAGTGTGCAATGATAGCAACCAACCTCGCGATCAGCCACTAGCTCCAAAATCTGCACAGAAAGTGCAAAGTGCAGTATCAGTATACCCGACCCCATGTACTGGTAAGTGCCGAGCCTAACCTCGATGAAGTAGTGATGATGCTATGACGGGGCATACAACATATACAAGCTGCAACAGTTTATGATAAACAAAAAGGAAATACGAAGTGTATAAAGCAATAACTGGCATTAGGTAAATCCGGAATCCAACTATTCCACTAATGTTTTAGCTATAACTAATCCTTAAGGGTGTTCCAGCATCACAATAACAGACCTCAACAGATATGAACACATAACAACAACTGAAGCGGGGCGCATCCTAATCCCATCATATAAACAACAACCAAATCAATATTCACTTTTATTCCTCCTTGTTGCGGCGTGTAACCCGATCCCACTTGTCCACCCTTATTACTCATCAACACATATCACCCTTATTCCTCCTGTTATGGCGTGCAACTCATTCCCACCTGTCCTCCCTTATTACTCTTTGTTGCGGCGTGCAACCCGATCCCATCATATAATACTATTGCGGTGTCAAGAAAAAGTTGAATTTCTTGATTCCATTCTTTACTGCAAGAATTTCCTTGAAAGTGAAGTGATAATGCTGCTCGGTATCTTTTAACTTTCCGCTGGCATATCCGCATATGTTTCTCTGGCCATCTTTTTCTGCAAATAGAATGGCACTCCAATATTTATTGTTGGCATCAGTTTGTAGTATCTTCTTACCATCTGAAGGGATGTAGAGGGACTTGACATTTTTAGATATATCTTTTATTTCTCTGACTGCTTCATCCTGTTTCTCTCCCCATGATGGAGCATTTTTCTTGAGATTTTCTGCGAGTGGTGAAATGCATGTAGAGATATTTGGGATGAAATCTCTTACATAATTTATTACACCCAAGAATTGTTGGATCCGCTTTGTTGTAAGGATGGTATCCAAAAATTTGAGTAATTTCGAACATATATGTGGTCCTGGACTGTATTCACCTTGGACAAAATGCATTCCGAGAAAATAGAACTCCTTTTGAGCAAGAACCATCTTTTTTGCTGAAAGCATGATCCCGTACTGTGTTATCAATGCCTCAATTGACGAAGCAAGTTGACATGTTCTTCCAATATATCACTAAATAACAGGATGTCATCAATGTAAACTAAGGAGGTATGGAGGATGAGTTGGAATATTTATCATGGCTTTTTGGAATAAAGAGGGTGCAGTTTTTAATCCGAATGGCATGACTTTCCATTGGAAGTGATGATCGGGGATGCAAAATTTCATTTTGGGTCTTTCTTTAAGGTAGATTCCAAATTGCCAAAATCCAGATTTTAGATCAAATTTGGAAAAATATTTGGCCTTGGCTTAGCAGGAGAAAAGAGTGAGTTTCTTTGGGATTAAGAATTTATCATCTTGGAGGAAGTGGTTAAGTGGCTGGTAGTTAATAACTAACTTGAGTTTTCCACTTGTCTTCTCAGCTCTTTTGTTGACATAAAATGCTTCACATGCCCATTGTCACACCTCCTTTTTACTGCACCAAAAGTTCTGGGTTATGGTCCTCAGCAGAGTTGTCAGAGCTGTCACACATCCTTTTGACCACCCGAGGGGGATATAAGGGAGTTTTTCAATTAAAGTGACATTAATCGAAATAGAATTATTTTATTTAATTTATCAGAATCGCTACTTGGGATAATTATTTGGTGTCCCAATTAACCGATTTATTTTAAAATCCCAAATCGAGGAAATTTAATTATTTTTAAAAAGTCTGTGAACCAGAAATTCTAAGTAAGGAATTCTGTTAACCCGGGAGAAGGTGTTAAGCATTCTCGAGCTTCGTGGTTCTAGCACGGTCGCTTAAACTATTAATATTGGTCTATTATCTGATTTACTACATGTTTTAAACATATTGTGCATTTTTAATTTTATAGCCTCTTTTAATTACTTTAAACTGCTTTTAGAATTTATGGAATTATTTTTTGAACAAGTTACGATTGTCGTACACTTGCCGTTTTGGAACACACCACAAATCACGCTACATGAAATGCACCCACGATTCGCGATACGTTTATTTTTATTAATATTCAAAGTTTTTATGATCGGGTTACATGAAATGCACCCCCGAATTTTGGAACTAGGCATCGTAACTATGTCACGACAACCGTACCCATAGTCACGATGATTTATTAATCGCGCCTAAAGCAACTAGCGCGTGTAAAAAAGGGTGTTTTTCTATACTAAGTTTATATTAATGTGAGGGCCATACCTTATAGATTTTTATTTGTGTATGGCACACCTAAAATTATTTTAAGAAAAAGTTTATATATTTTTCTTCTAAGGCAAACTAAAGATGCTCCTACTTTAATCTAATTTGGCATCACATGTCACGGGAATCGTACCCGTAGTTGTAATAATTTACAAAAAAAAAAGAAGAAGCCAAGTTCGCAAGATTTCTCTCCAAAAATTTCAACTACTTCCTACTTTCCATTTTAGTGCATCCCAGATTGTTAACCACTTTCTTAACTATAGCAAGTTTTAATTCCTCCACTATTCAAACTAATATAAAATAATACCCTTTACATTGGATCAACTTTGAGCTGACACCTCTATACCTTTATGCTCCTTGATAATCAACCAAGGTAAAAATCAAAATGAGACAAATTTGACTCGAATCTTTTCCTTTGGTTTGTTCCTTTAGCTTCACAGACCCCGACATCGATTATAGAAGCAGGGGTTCCTTTCTTCTAAGAGTAGAAGCAAAATGAAAGCTCCACTGTTTTCTTTTTCTTTTCACTTCATTTGTTTTATTTGTTGGAGGATTTTGTTGAAAGTGTATTATAACATAAAGAAATACAGATGATTTAACGGAGCAAGTGAAACATCTATTTTCAAATGAATCTGACGAACATGACCTTGTGGTTCGCCATTTTATTGATATTCTGTAAATTGTGGATTAAACAAAAACAAACACAAATATGCCTATGTATATTTTGCTAGTAATTTGCTTAGTAAGTGCACAGAGATTCGATTCAAGCTACTGAGATCAGAAACAAGGCTATAGCAGTATAATTAATTAATCCTCATGTCAGTATAAAATGATTTCCACAACCGGCAACTTCTACAATAACGTAGGAGGGAGCTGATTGACTCAATGGCTTCAGTGATGTTTAAAATCTTTCATTCAGGACCTTCAACTCAAGCAGATCTAGATGAAATTCGAACCACCATCATAGATTCATAAATAAAAAAATAGACTTTCCTAACTTATTCAAATCCATCAAGAGCCTATTCCAACAACTCAAAATCTTAGTGGAGAACAATACATTCAGCATTAAACATCGATTAAGAATAATAAAAAAAAAGCAACAGAACTTGAAACTTAGGAAAACATCTCTTAATCAGTATGAGTCTTAACAGGTATACAATAAAGTTTAATCCATAATTCAGAATAAGATAATAAGTTAGGATTTACATACCTAAAGCAAAGAAATAGAAGGCAATGACCAAATAAAGGTCAAGTTTGAGGGCAAATGAAGCTTGATTAAATAGGAGCAGCCAAGCAGTAATCAGCAGCCTCACGAGTTCAAATCCAGCAGCTTCTAAACTCTTTCCCCAACTCTTTCCTTTAGATCCTTTTCTAAGTNTTTGTCTTAGATCTAGCCTCTCATGTTAGGTCTAGGTCCCTTTTAATATATCTAGGTTTTTAATTAAGGGGTAGTGGGTTTGGGGCTAATGGGTTTAAGCATTTGGGCCACCTCTTTTGGCCCAATTCCATACAACCAAATTCTTCCTTTTCCTTCTTTATTAAGTTTTTGCAAACTCTAGCCATTTAAAACTCAAACCTTAATTAAATCTAATTTTATATGGCTAGCCTATTTATTTATTTTGCCTAATGATGGATTAATGCAACTAATTAATTAATTAACATAAGAATGCATTTTTTTTATTTTTAGTTATTTAAAAGATGCATATGGCAATATAATTAAGTTCTAAATGCAAATTAAACCTAAGATAGCTTGAAATTATAACGTGACAATTTTTTGTGATTTTTCTATGATTTTAAAATATTGAAAATGCATGAAATGCAATTAAATAAAAAAACTTCTAAAATCCCTTAAAAATTATTTTTGGTTTATTTTTAGGAATTATTTTCATGTAAGGCAAAAATTAGGTGCTCACAGCTGTCCCTCTTTGCTCGGAAACATGAAGAGTTTTCGAAAAAAGATAAAGTGAGCAATTACGAGCAATTTTTGCCTGTTTAAAACTCTATTTTGGAAGAATTTTGAAAAAGTTTGACCGAACCTTGCTTCGGAGGTTGCCTACATATCCTTGGCTATAAAGGAATCAGGTCGGTGTAGTTCTGGAAATTTTAGTAGCTGGGACTACCGAGACTGTGATTTCACTGCTGTTGCTGTCGTTTCTGCTTGTTGATCTCCTTATTACACCGAAATAAAAAATAAAAAGCTAAACTAGCTAAGTCTATCAAGTATGAGTTACAAGATTCTTGTCTATAAATCTTCTGAAGCTCGATCTTGAGTCTTGACTGGATGCGGACTCTGATCTGAATCTTGATGCTCATTAGCTGCGAATGCTGGTTCATTTTTCTTCAGCTCTTCGGATCAAGGCGGGACATGCAAAGCTTGTGACTTCAATCACATCTTGGGCAGTCCGCATCTTTTCTTCGCTTCTGCACTTAGAGCTTAACTTCTTTTCTTTTCTTTCTTTTTTTTTCTTTTATTCTAGATTGGGAATTCTTATTTTGTTTATCTCAAACCTTGTTCCTCACGGTGAAAACCTATTTAGGCACCAAAGAAAACAAACGAATGAAATTTTTCTACCCCAGTTTTCGCTAGGAAAATTTCGTGATTAATTGTAACAAAATCTAAACTGTTTTTTATTGAAAACAATAAAATCAGTATTGTGTATCCTTGGGAAAAGATATTAGGTAGTGGAGCCCTATATCTATATTAAAATCAACCAGGGAATGAAGACCCTATGTTGGAAAAACGACTAGGGAGTAGAGACCCTATGCCTAAATAACTTCAACTAAGGAGTGGAGACCCTATGTTGGAAAAGCGACTAGGGAGTAGAGACCCTATGTCTACAATAAAATCAACTAGGGAGTGGAGACCTTATGTTAAAAAAGCGACTTGGGAGTGGAGACCCTATGTCTAAGATAAAATCAACTAGGGGGTGGAGATCCTATGTTGGAAAGGCGACTAGGGAGTGGAGACCCTATGTTTAAAAATAAACTCAACTACGGAGTGGAGACCCTATGTCTAAAAATAAACTCAACTAGGGAGTGGAGACCCTATGTTGGAAATACGACTAGGGAATGGAGACCCTATGTCTAAAATAAAGTCAACTAGGGAGTGAAGACCCTATGTTGGAAAGGCGACTAGGGAGTGGAGACCATATGTCTAAAATAAACTCAACTAGGGAGTGTAGACCCTATGTTAGAAAAGCGACTAGGGAGTGGAGACCCTATGTTGGGAAAGCGACTAGGGAGTGGAGACCCTATGTCTAAAATAAAATCAACTAGGGAGTGGAGACCCTTTGTTGCGAAAGCGACTAGGGAGTGGAGACCCTATATCNCAACCAGGGAGTGGAGACCCTATATTAGAAAAGCGACTACGGAGTGGAGACCCTATGTCTAAAAAAAACTCAACTAGAGAGTGAAGACCCTATGTTGGAAAAGCGATTAGGAAGTGGAGACCCTATGTCTAAAATAAAATCAACTAGGGAGTGGAGACCCTTTGTTGCGAAAGCGACTAGGGAGTGGAGACCCTATATCTAAAATAAAATCGACTAGGTAGTGGAAACTCTATGTTGGAAAGGAGACTAGGGAGTGGAGACCCTATGTCTAAAAATAGACTCAACTAGGGAGTGGAGACCTTATGTTGGAAAGGCGACTAGGGAGTGGAGACCGTATGTATAAAAATAAACTCAACCAGGAAGTGGAGACCCTATGTTGGAAAAGCGACTAGGGAGTGGAGACTCTGTCTAAAAATTAAACTCAACTAGGGAGTGGAGACTCTGTCTAAAAATTAAACTCAACTAGGGAGTGGAGACCCTATGTTGGAAATGCCACTAGGGAGTGGAGACCCTATGTCTAAAAATAAACTCAACTAGGGAGTGAAGACCCTATGTTGGAAAGGCGACTAGGGAGTGGATACCCTATGTCTAAAATAAATTCAACTAGGGAGTGGAGACCTTATGTTGGAAAAGCGACTAGGGAGTGGAGACCCTATGTCTAAAATAAATTCAATTAGGATGGAGACCCTATGTTGGAAAGGCGACTAGGGAGTGGAGACCCTATGTCTAAAATAAACTCAACTAGGGAGTGGAGACCCTATATTGGAAAGACGACTAGAGAGTGGAGACCCTATGTCTAAAATAAAGTCTACTAGGGAGTGGAGACCCTATGTTGGAAAGGCGACTAGGGAGTGGAGACCCTATGTCTAAAATAAACTCAACTAGGGAGTGGAGACCCTATGTTGGAAACACGACTAGGAAGTGGAGACCCTATGTCTAAAATAACTTCAAGTAGGGAGTGAAGACCCTATGCGTAAAATAAAATCAACTAGGGAGTGGAGACCCTATGTTGGAAAAACGTAACTAGAGATTGGGGACCCTAGGCTACCATGATTTTGAATTTTTCTTCTTTCTTCTTCTTTTTGTTTTAAGAAAATGAATAAAAATGCAGGAAAGAATTCGGAGGAGACTTCCCTTTTGGATTGATTATTGCTTCAAAGCTGTTTCTAGACCTTGCACAGTTTCTCTTTGGTTGCACCTGCTTCTTGCAAGGTTGCTTTGGATTGTACCTGTTTCATGTTTTCAAACAACGAACAATTGTTAGTTTGAAATGGTGGTTGGTTTTGTGGCCTTGATTGTTTCAATCACTTGATCTTGGCCCGGCTTCTTTGATGAAGATCTCAATTGCAACTGCTCGTTTCTTGAGGACCGATTTCATTTCAGGCCCTGAGAACCTCTGATTTTTTCCAGATTTTGCCATGACAGTTGGTCGGTGGAACTCAACCTTTTTGACTTTATTCTGCCTTCGTAGGCCTTTCACTTCCGGCTTCTTTCTTCCAACATCAATTTCAGAGCATTTGGGGTACCTTGGCTTTTTCAAATCTTTGCTGAGACGATTAGCCACGTGGAACTCAACCTTTTCAACTTCTAAGAGTTTTTAATTTCAAAACATCAGCCATCATGGCCGGTCGAAGTCGACTTGATGCCCTTGCGAAGGCTGGGTGTCTTCTTGTATATTAGCTCATGTCAAATGAGAACCCTGTAAATCAGTCTTCTCATCCCTTCTTTGTCTCAGTTGCGGAATAGAGTTAGACCGAAAGGAATTCAAAGAAAAATAAATAATGGACAGGATGATGAATTTAAAACAAGTAGTGTCCCTTTCGAGGAAAGGAAGAAGGACTTATCTGGGGTACATGCGGACTTCAATGAACATGACATGCCTTTTGGACTGGATGCATGATCTGTGTAAACCGTCCGACTCTGAGAAATTCATCACAACTTTTGCCTCAAAATCGAGAAACCTTGCCAGGACTCTTTCAGTGTCAATGGTTGTAAGGTATTCCTTCTTTTCGATCAACGGCGCCCTTTGCGGGTTTTCGCCAATTAACCTCTCTCATTTCTCTTCTCACCGTCGCCTTATAGTGCTCTTTACGAGTTTTCACAAACAAGACTCTCTCATCTTCAATTTCTCTGCTCACTATCGCCTTACGGTGCCCGTGTGAGTTTTCACCAATAAAACTCTCTCATTTTATTTCTCTCATCTTGATTGTATTAGATCTAAATAGTTACGTTCTCCGATTCTTAAACATTCTCATTGATTGATCGGAAGGACTTGAACAGGGTTCAGAGTAAAAGGAATTTGGATCAAATTACAACTTTGGAATCTTTTGGCGAACCGTCACTGAATCATTATAACATCTGTTCCACTTTCACTTTGGGGGGAAATTGAATTTTTGTTTTGGTGTGACTGAACCCCAGAGAGAAGTTGTCTACGTATCCTTTCGGAATCAAGTCGAACATAGTTCAGGAAACTTTCTTTTTGATTTTCTTTTGTTTTCTGTTTTGTTTTGTTTTCCCTTTCTTTTTCCTCTTTTTTTTTCATTTCATTGTCTTTTCTTCCCCCTCTTTTTTGTATCTTTCTTTTCTTCTCTTTTTCTTTTTGCCCTTTTCTTCCTTTTTTGTAATTTTTCTTTTTTTCTCTTTTCATTTTTTTTCATTTCATTTTTTATTTTTTATTCAATAACACTTTCAAGTTTCAAAGAGGGTAATCAAAGAAAAGTAACCAGCTCAAAGGGTTTTCAAAGGATTGATAGTGTTTGGGTAACGAAAATAAAAGCCTTCTTCATCTCAACCGGAGAACATTATTGTTATATAGAAGATCCAACATAGTACCTTTTGACTGCACCTGGGTTGAGAGTTGTTTCAGGATCTTTTCCTTCGACATTTCCCAGGTACGACGCTCTCTTTGTAGTACCTTTGTTACCATGTAGGAATCTTTCCAATTTGGAGCCAATTTTCCTTTAACTGTTCCAACTCTTTGTTTTATTTCCTAAAACTTATCTTCATTGCAATCTAATTCTTGATTCATTATTTCAATTTCTGACAACATTTTAGGATCCGAGCATGAAGTCCGCAAGCATGTCATGTTATTGAAATCTGCATTTGACAGAACAAAAAAGAGAATAAGAAAAATGACAAGATTAAGAAAAGAGACATTCCTGGACAATGAAATATTAATTTCATTTGATATTTTTTATTTTTCGTTTTTTTGATATTTTTTTCAATTTTTGAAGATAGAAGGGTTTACATCAGAAAGTAAGACAATAAATTAAAATATTCGTACCACACTCTAAGATAATCCGGACGCAGAAAGGATAGCAAGACTGGATACCGATACTCCCCTCTGATGGGGAACTTTCATGCTTGGCGACCATATTTTGGCTTTTCTTCTATCTCGGCAATGGCTGCAATGGCCTTCAGTGCCAGATCAAGTTCCTCATCTTCACAAATCATTCCGACTATGCAAACCGAAACAAACAGATGCGAAAGTAGCACGTAAGATGCATCAGGATGGTCTTTTTAATTTGGGTACACCTATCCTAGACGGACTCAACCCCTATGTTGAGTCCCCAATGTCAATTGCATGTGATGCAAATAAGCGTTCCTACTAGGGATCCGGCATAAGGCTATGTTATTCTAGGTTTAAAAACCTGGTGTATTTGTTCTAGACCTGGCTTACCCGAGCAGACAGCTCGAGCCGATGGGGGGCAGCATACTGGTAATACAGAAGTTTCACCGGCTTTGCACCTTGTCCGAACCTCGTTCTAAAATTGGGATATGACTCTAACAGAAAATAAGTTACATGAAGTGTACACTTCCCAGATGATTTAGAAGACTCAGAGAGAAGAGGATTTCGTAACAGTTTATATACAATTCAAACAATATCAAAGCGGTAAAAAGCGGCATTTAGTACATTAGGCCCAAACATATAAAAATCAGATAATAAATAAAGCCAAGTATAACAGTCATTCTAAGTTCGAATTCTTGAACCCTAAACCAAATGTTCTGGGTTATGGTCCTCAGCAGAGTCGCCAGAGCTGTCACACTTCCTTTTGACCACCCGAGGGGGATATAAGGGAGTTTTTCTAATTAAAGTGACATTAATCAAAATGGTATTATTTTATTAAATTTATCAGATTCGCCACTTGGGATAATTATTTGGTGTCCCAAGTCATCGGTTTATTTTGAAATCCCAAATCGAGGAAATTTTGACTTTATTTTTAAAAAGTCTGCGAACCAGAAATTCTAAGTAAGGAATTCTGTTAACCCGGGAGAAGGTGTTAAGCATTTTCGGGTTCCGTGATTCTAGCACGGTCGCTTAAACTATTAATATTGCCCTATTATCTAATTTGCTACATATTTTAAACATAATATGCATTTTTAATTTTATAGCCGCTTTTAATTACTTTAAACTGCTTTTAGGATTTATGGAATTGTTTCTTAAACAAGTTACGATTGTCGTACACTTGCCGTTTTGGAACATACCACAAATTACGCTACATGAAATGTACCTGCGATTCGCGATACGTTTATTTTTATTAATATTTAAAGTTGTTATGATCGGGTTACATGAAATGCACCCCCGAATTTTGGAACTAGGCATCGTAACTATGTCACGGGAACCGTACCCATAGTCACGATGGTATATTAATCGCGCCTAAAGCAACTAGCGCGTGTAAAAAAAGGTTGTTTTTCTATACTAAGTTAATATTAATGCGAGGGCCATAGCTTATGGATTTTATTTGTGTATGGTACACCTCAAATTATTTTAAGAAAAGGTTTATATATTTTTTCTTCTAAGGAAAACTAAAGATGCTCCTACTTTAATCTAATTTTGCATCACAACCATGTCACGGAACCGTACCCGTAGTTGTAATAATTTACAAAAAAAAATGCCAAGTTCGCAAGGTTTCTCTCCAAAAATTTCAACTACTGCCTACTTTCCATTTTAGTGCATTTCAAACTGTTAACCACTGTCGTAAATATAGCAAGTTTTTATTCCTCCAATATTCAAACTAATATAAAATAGTACTCTTTCCATTGGATCAACTTTGAGTTGACACCTCTATACCTTTATGCTCCTTGATAATCAACCAAAGTAAAAATCGAAATGAGATAAATTTGACTCAAATCTTTTCCTTTGGTTTGTTCCTTTGGATTCACAGACCCCGACATCAGATATAGAAGCAGAGGTTCCTTTCTTCTAAGAGTAGAAACAAAATGAAAGCTCCACTGCTCTCTTTTTCTTTTCACTTCATTTGTTTTATTTGTTGGAGGATTTTGTTGAAAGTGTATTATAACATAAAGAAATACAGATGATTTAGTGGAGCAAGTGAAGCATCTATTTTCAAATGAATCTGACGGACACGACCATGTGGTTCGCCATTTTATTGATATTCTGAAATTGTGGATTACACAAAAAAAACACAAACATGCATATGTATATTTTGCTAGTAATTTGCTTAGTAAGTTCACAGAGATTCAATTCAAGCTACTGAGATCAGAAACAAGGTTATAGCAGTGTAATTAATTACTCCTCATGTCATTATAAAATGATTTCCACAACCGGCAACTTCTACAATAACGTAGGAGGGAGCTGATTGACTCAATGACTTCAGTGATGTTTAAAATCTTTCATTCAGGACCTTCAACACAAGTAGATCTAGATTAAATTCGAACCACCATCATAGATTCATAAATAAAAAAAAATTAGACTTTCCTAAATTATTCAAATCCATCAAGACCCTATTCAAACAACTCAAAATCTTAGTGGAGAACAATATATTCAGCATTAAACATCGATTAAGAATAAGAGAAAAAGCAACAGAACTTGAAGCTTAGGAAAACATCTCTTAATCAGTATGAGACTTAGCAGGTATACAACAAAGTTTCATCCATAATTCAGAATAAGAGAATAAGTTAGGATTTACATACCTAAAGCAAAGAAATATAAGGCAATGACCAAATAAAGGTTAAGTTTGAGGGCAAATGGAGCTTGATTAAATAGGAGCAACCAAGCAGTAATCAGCAGCCTCATGAGTTCAAATCCAGCAGCTTCTAAACCCGGAAAATTGTTCCCCAACTCTTGCCTTTAGATCCTTTTCTAAGTTTTTTTTCCGTCTCCCTTTTTGTGTGTGCTTGTGTATGTTCATGAATGGGAAAGGTGAGAAGAGGAGAGTGTGGGG